AACTATGTTTGTGTTTATACTGATGTGTAACTCACCCCAATGAAATGTGTAATTTTTTTTCCTACTAATTAGAAGTTAACAAGCCAAAAATTTTTCGCAAATACAGTGGGTTCTTGAATAATTTCGTATACATACTCATTTAATATTGATTGAAATTTTTTTTTTTTTCCTAATCTATCTGGTGGTATAACATTTTCTGGTGGTAATTATTTTTCTTTGTAAATGATCATTAGATAACTTAAATCAAGTTTTATGACGAAAATATTTTGGTGTAAAAAAGTATTTCGTCAAATAGGGCACGTGTGACAAAATGTGACGAAAGTAAAAGTGACGAAATGTGACAAAGGGTAAAGTCAAAAGTCAAAATGTATGATAAAGATGACAGAAGTATAAAATTCAATTCTATTTAGATTTAATTAAAACAAATATTTAATTAAATTTTTTTTACATTGTAAATTATGTTTCTTAGTCTGATACTTAATTTTTGTACGCAAATTTTAGTAGGAATTGCTGCTGCTTCACATTTATTGCTGGTTTCATAGCTTTCTTCAAAATCTGTAGAATCATCTGATGATTGTTTATTTTTTCCTGATCGTTGAAATTCTTCTTTATTTACTGTTTTTTTAATGAAATGTAAACATACATCAGACACAGTACGTCCTGTAGCTAATTCTTGATTATTGTTAAATGAACTTTCAAATGTATCTAATTTTAATGTTTGCAAATTCATATTATATGAGAAGGAATTGATGAATTTGGTGAATTAGAATTTGACATCATGAATTTTATTTTAAAATCTACAAAATAATTGGTTTATTTGTTTATTTCCTCAATTTCCTCACTTTTGTCAAATCCCTTAAAGTGTAGAAATCCTATTTCGTCACATTTATTTTCGTCATGTGACGAAAAGGAGACATTTCGTCACCCAAGCTTGAGTTAAATTCTGCCCGTATTACACTTAAGTCAGATTTGTAATGTTAAATTTAGCATTTAATAGTGGATTTTGCATAGGATATTAAAGGAGAGAATATTATTTTATTTATTATAAAATATTAAAATAAGTTAATATGATGAATATGATACAATGATAACACTTCTATTTCTCTTACTTCTACTGCTTAAGAATATTAGTATTAGTTCTTCTCTTTATATTTTAATTTCCGATTTATGCGGCACAGTTTTTTATCTATAGATCAATATGATAGCAACAGCAAGGCTGGCCGCGTAACTCAAATGAGCACTTGGCTAAACTGACTAAACTATTTAGTCATATGTTAAGTCAAGTTTGGTAAGATAATTATTACTGAATTAGCTTTGCGCTGTCAGCCATGAGCAACAGTTACACGACGAGTTTCCATGCTGGTTTGAATACTTGATCAGTTTTTCCAATTTTATTTACATGCAACTTTCATAAATCATTTCCAACTTATTTATTGATTTCACGTGATATGTAAAATTACTATTTTACACTACCCAGTTTAACAAACAAGGCCAAATTTTTGAGAGTGTGTGTATGAATTAATTCAAACTTTAACCACATATAAAAACTATTTATTTGTTACATGAAAACCTATTAATTTTTTTGATTTTTAATGCTTCATAGCCAAAAAGGTTTTGGTGGTGTGATGCAAATGTTAATTGCAGCTCAAATAATTTTGACCTCAAGTATCATCAGGAAATTTGCCCTACCATAATATTTATGTCCATAACTTTTAATATGTAAAGTTGTAATATTTGCATAAAAAATTGTGTAATATTTACACTGAAATGTAATAATTGCATAATTTTTGTAAATAGTGTAAATCTGTGTCAGAAAAAATTTCCTGATGATAATTGGTACAGTTCAAAGTTTTGGGACAGGTTCAGATTTTTGGTTCGGTCCAAACTGACAACCCAAACTGAATTAGGACCCAGACTGTTTGGAGCTTTAATCTACAATTGCTTTCAACAAACAATAAATGAGAATGACTATTTTATTGATTACATATCTAATAATAATGCATCACAACCTTTGGAGAACCTGATTTTAGACACTTGCATTTTGAAGCTCAAATATCTACTTTAGGATTGGTATCTGATTTTACATTTAGATTAAGAAATGATTTGATGTGTTTGTGTTTAACTATACATGAAGTCGAAACTATTTCGACCATTTGCAGATCTGGTCGAAATAGGGTCGAATAAGGTCAAAACTGATTTTTACTAGCGAAGCAAATATAACTAGCAGTAAACCTGATATACCTACTCAAGTTAAAAAACTAATTATTTTGGGCCTCAATTCGAAACATTTTGACTTTGGGGTTTTAATTTCGACTTCATGTATAGTTTAACATTAACAATCAGGTTACTGCCAAACACCTGCAAAAAGGCTTAAGAATACTGTTGAACAATCCACTCATAATATAAAACTCACTTTTTGTTCAACTAAATTATGATTTGATTGTATAATTAGCCCATTTATTAATACTATAACAAAATTTGTGAATATTAACTTACCTTGTCCATTTAAGCAATTACAATCAAGAAATAAATGAAATTGTTGGTAAAATAAACAAATAATTTTATGACATATTATTAAACCAATGATTGAAAACCATAAAGATGGGCAAAACCAATGCATATTTCATATTTGGGACATGTCACAGCAAAAACCACCTCTGAGACTTGTAGATCATTTTGCGGTATCACCTTATTCAACTACGTTACACACTATTTAAACATATAAAAAAGAAATTCTTTGTCACCCAGTTCTCTTTTTTTTATTATGTAAATAGGGTTTAATATTTTCACCAATTATAATACTTATGTTATAGTTTATTATTATGCAAAAAAATCAATTTTGGTTAGAAAGTCCCAGAGGTGGTTTTTGCTGTGACATGTCCCATTTTATTAATTATTATTTTACCTACAGGCGATGGAATCAGTTTTTAGCCATTAAGACCAAAAGCAAAGCTACTACTATTTGTTCTACTATTAATTGGATAAACCAGTCAGTTTGAAAAATTTAGATCAGATTGTAGTTATATAGGAAAAATTATGATATAACTGATTTCAAGGATTACAAAGAACAATTGATAAATTGTGTTACCAAATGAAAAAAAATTTGTGATTGATTATGCTTTTACTTCAGTCAATGCTTATTTGGCAACCATTGATATACTTGCTGTCCATACTCATCCTTAAAATCCCATCCCATCTCATTCCATGTTCCATTAATAGAATTAACAAAATGGACTAGTATTGTATTTATTAATAAAATATTATCCTTCATAAAATATCACAAGGACCATAATAACAATTAGAAGAGAAACATTTTTTTAAGATTTGAAATAATTTCTACTTTTCAACAAATTTTTATTTATTAATATCAAATAATAATATAATTTAATAATAGTCGCATAACAATTACAGCACTAGACTATAGATATATTTTTTTTCTGGCAAAACCTAAATACAATTAATCTAATGTTGGATTGTATGGTGTGCAAAGTCTAAATGCCAAATTGTAATTAATTAATTAAATTTAAGGAAAATAATTATAAAGAAAAAACATTTTTATTTAATGATTTGTGTACAAATTTACCATGGCGCATGCAATATTACCATGAAAAATATACATGTATAAATGTAAACATTCAAAGATTTAAATTTGTTAATTTCTTGCAAAAAATTAATTCCAGATCATTATATATTTTTTTTTTTATTGGTTAAGAGTAAAGATGTTAGCCGAAATTATTTCACTTAGTAAATGATCGTCACCAAATCCGAAATGCCGAAATATTTTTTCATAGTTGCCGAAATTATACTCAAAATTATTTGAACACTTACTACTAATTCAATAAAAGCAACATGTAATATAAAAAAAACGAATTGGGATTAAATTTTTACCACTTTAGCATCAACAAAAGCATAACTCAATTCTGAATCATGAGATAATAATCATTTTTTAATTCTGTTGAATTCTTGACATTTATATGAATTAAGCCATGGTTTGGATAAAGTTCTAGAATGTGAGAAAACATTTTTAAGTTGATGGATATTATATCACACAAAGATGCTTTTAACGATATACAATAGTAATGATTTAAACCATATCAAATCATAAATATGAAAAATAAATAGTTCTAATTATATAATAGATGATGTCAAATTAACCTGCACTATCAATAATAGTAAAATATATAATAATATTAATTGATCAATTTTAAATTATATAAGTATAGAACAACTTTCACTTTGTTAGTACATGAGGCTTGTCCATCTGATGGTTCCTGAGCATTTCAAAGACCACAAAATTGTGACGCATTTGAGCAATAAATTTATTTAGAATGAAAAAATTATGATAACCATTGCAATTTTTTATGAGGAACCTTTCACTTTGTCTGCAAGTTCTGCTTGCTTGACTGATTTTGAGCATTTCAATGATGAATTTCATAAAACGTTAGACATCTCATAAAGATAATTTGACCTTTTTAGAAATTTCTGATGAGCAAAACAAACTTCAAGGCCAGAGACATACAGTCCTAAATCCAATTGCATCATCATATCATCAGGGGATGAGGTTATTTTACTTGGAGAATAAGAGAATAACTACAATAAATATTAACTTGAACTGAGTACATATTAAATATTAAACTATTTAATATTATGCAAAACAAATATACTAATCATTTCAATTGCTTATTATAATTACCCAAGCTTCACTCCTCATTTTTGATGTCATTATGCTTACATATTACTTACTTTAGACCAATTCCATGTTAATTAAAACAATAATAATTCTCTTTCTCTTTCTCTTTCTCTTTGTATTTATAATATATTTTCTTGTACCAAAAATAACAACAAGGACCGAATATTTAAGAAAAAAATTTCAAGCTAAATCAGCAAGTATCATTAGAGATAGAAAAACACTGTTTGCAAAAATTTTACTATATGGAAGCAGGCTAATTATTTAATTAATATACATGTACTTGTAAACCTAATAAAAAAAAATAAAAAAAGCAGATACATCGAGGTTTGAAGTAAGGTTGCTTGCCAAAACTCCTTCAGAAATCAATCAGCAGGGTTTTGGCAGGTTACACATTAATTGTTTATTAGAGTTTCAGCAGAGTTTCACATTTTGAGGTTTCGCCATTTCAGCATATTTTCAACAGGATTTTTGATAGGATTTAATATAGTTTTGCTATGGTTTCAGCAATTACTAAGGGGGTTTTGCCCACAACCTTAGTTTGAAGTTCCAGTGATGCTAGGAGATTCTTTATTGCTCCTTAAAAACAATTTACAGAATTAATGGTATTTTTATTATCATCTATTGAATAATAAAAGTTCTGTATTATAATCTAGCTTTTTAAAAATATACCCAAGGAAATTTACGATTGGAAATGAAGAATCAATGTTGCAATATCTTCTAGTGTATGAGTAATAATGACTCCCCCAATATATACAATATATAAATTATTTTGATTCTTACCTTTTTTTATTGTACCAGATTGTCATTTATTTTGGCTACAATATCTATTTGAGCATTTATATTAACTATCACATTTTAAATTTCATCAATTATTTCACTAACACCAATATTGTTATCAATTATTCTATCTAGGTCATTTCTATATTTATAAAAAAATTACTTGAAAGGTTTTATGTCATCTAATATAAACAAAAATTTAAGGATATTATGGTCTTTCACATGACCATCAATTAGTGAATCTGGTTCCAATGCCACAAAATATCTTTATACCAGAACACTACTGGGTTTACAATAAAGTTGGTACCCGTAATGTAAAATTATGTGTTGCAACTAACCACAATGTCATAATGTTACATTCAAATAAAAAGCAAGGTCACAATCCTTACTTCACCCATGAGTATGTTTATGCATTTTAAAACCATTTTTCATATTTTTCATATAATAATTAAAGATGAATTTTGCTACTGATAACAAAAACAAACTTGGTCCAAAATATAATGATATCTGGGAATATTTTACACTTGGTAACCATCTTGGTGATGGATATTACCAAGCTATGCATGAGCTATGTTTGTCATTTTTTTAAAAGATTTCCTGATCACATCAAATGTTTTATAATAATAATGTTTTTAAAAGTGAGAAAATTGGTCTAACTGCATTGTGATTATGTTGCAATGCAATGTATAGTTTTTATGTAATATGTATATGTTGCAACATTTGATATTTGATTATGGAGGATAAGCTTAGCTTACAAAGACAATTATCCTATAATTTTTATTGTAAAAATTGACTAGAGCACCAATTTAGTATTAAAATTCATGGAAAAATTACATGCAGTAAATGTAATGAATTATAAAGGAATAAACAACAATCTATTTTGAGTGTTTGGTTGTAGAAGAGTAGTTAATTTAATGACACCCTTTGTACTTAAATCTATAATTCTTTTAGCCATTATAGCTGGTGTAGTATTACCATTCTTACTAATACTTAAAGCAACTGCACCTGCAACTTGTGGAGCTGCCTGACTTGTACCTGAAAACACAGCCTTGCCAGTATTTGTTTTAGCATCTGCTGAAATAATATTTACTCCTGGTGCAAAAATATCCACACATTTGCCAAAATTAGAAAAGCTGGCCACTTTATCAAGAGTAATGACACCAAGAACTTTAACAAGATCAGTTGCTCCAACTGTGATTGCTGATGGAACAGATGATGGTGATTTTGAACATGCATCTGTATTACTATTACCAGCTGCTACTACCACATGTATACCAGCCTTAGTAAGAGCTTCTACAGCAGCATTTAGTGCTTGTGACAGTGGTCCACCAAGTGACATATTAACCACTGTTTTCTTATTAGAGCTGGATTTGTGTTGATTCAATACAAATGTTAATCCACTCAAAACACCTGCCGTAGTTCCACTACCCAAGCTATTTAACACTTTGACTGCTATCAGGTTACTTTTTCTTGCTACACCAAATGTTTTTCCACCAACTAAGGCAGCTACATGTGTTCCATGTCCATGGTCATCTATAGCAGGACAATTTGGACAAAATGAGCCACCATGTCGAGCTCGTCCTATAATTTCTTGATGTTTAACATTTATCCCAGTATCAACTATGTAAACATTTACACCTGAACCTTGTGAGGCTGGAAACCTGAATTTTTTGTCTAATGGAAGTTTTCGTTGATCTATACGATCCAAATTTATATTTGGATTGTTTTGTACCAATAAATTTGGTAAAAGTGATGCTTTGACTGGTAACACTGGTTCTATTATTTCAATTTCTGATGATTTCACTAATTGATCTTTAACAAATTCAGGATCATATGGTGCAGAGTATCCAACAAGTTGTTCAGATAAAAATGAAGTGAATTTATTATCATTGCTGTTGGTTGAAATCTGATCAACATCTTCTGGCAATGATGATGGAATATCATTTCCCCAACATTTTTTCATATATTTTAAGTGTCTATTTAAAACACTTTTTCCATTATCTGAATTACCACGACGTTGTAGTGGAGTATCATTGTTAGATTTAAGTATAATTAAAAATTGTTTGGGTTTTCCTTTATATTTTTTGGTGGACTGAATGGATTGTGGGCATTTAATTTCATCTTCTTGATTTGGCGATTTCAATGGCAATGATTCTGTTTCTTTTATTACCAAACAAAAAAGAAACATTGCTAATGTTATAATTGAAAGTAGTAATTTATGATAAATCATTTTTATAATGTCAACAAATTAATGGGATGAACAGATTTTATGGAATGGTGATAAAAAATAAAATTAACGAGTTTAATGGAGTGAATGTGTGAAGAAAAGAAAGTGTGAGAGGAAGAATAATAGAAAGTGTGAGAAAGGAAGAAGGATTTAATGAATGAATAAAGGTAAGAGGTAAGTAATGTGAAAGAATGGATGGATGTGGGTTAATCAACAAATTCCTATGAAATTAAAATTAAAAAATTTAATTAGCTCGTACATTTATATTTATATTAATATTTATATTTTTTGTGTGAATAAAAATTTATTTTAGTACCCAGGCATGATTATTTGTTGTTGTTTAAAATATTAATTGGTGATCCGTGAATGAGAGAGATGTCGATCGTTTTAATATAAAATTTTGTCGCCTATCATTATTAATAAGATTGAATTTTTCTCAAATCTCAGTGTCCGCGTTTATTGATCCTCATGTCCACACAAAAATTTAAAAGACATCTTTTAGCAACTGATGAAATTGATAACAGTCTTCGTTATGATCCTTTTGCAATTCATTGGTTTTTTTTTTTTAAGTCCAATAATCAAGAAACAACATTTCCAATAAGACATCATATGAAAATCAAATATAAAATCGACCAACAAGGATTTATAGTTAGAGTAGTTAAAGGTACAAGCGATGATGAATGGGTGCCTGGGTATGTATGTGAATCAGATATAGAAGGAAGAATTTACTCAACTCCAACTGCAGTAGTTAATGAATCTTATAAGAAATATTCTGATACAAAAACACGCTTTTCTGGACCAGATGTTTTAGGTTTTGGAGATGAAGCAATGATTAAATAATTGCAGGTAGGGGTGCCTTTTTTTCCTTTTAAAATTATTACTAATGATATTCAAGTTTTAGTAACATCAATAGGTAGTCCATACCAGGAGGAATTAAACTTTGTAGGTCCTGGTTATCTATCCACCTTTTTTTGCAAATATTCTGAAAAAAAATCTTTGATATGTCAATCAATAATTGATACACAATGTCAAATTGATGTATATTTTCAAGGGAAATTAGTTTGTACGCATATGGGAAGCACACCAACTGATGTTTGGAATAGGTTGATGTTCCTAAGAAAATATGATGGAAAAAAATTATTTGGACTTACTAATTCATTTACAATACAAAAAATTGAAAATTAAATTAATGCTCATCCTCTGAATGGGATTATATCAACAATATGATGCCTGCATTTGAGAAGCATTTAAAAAGAAAAATATCTGTTTTGGATTTAAATTGGCATCAATTTTTTATTGGATGGAAAGAACAGTCAACAACTGTTATTGAATTAAATTCACACCTCACCTCTATATATCCACCAAATTTTGAAATTACTGATACTATATTGAATGCATGGATAAGAATGTTGAAAAGCATTGAATGTACTAATGTAACCCCCTATAAAAAAATCATATCAAATGTAAGAATTTTAATTATATCAATAATTTTTTTGTTATCATATATAATTGATAACTATTAACTTTCTATTAACAATCAAAACAATAGCTTGAATTCTGGACATA